GTCGCAGAGGTATCGACGGGGAGGCGGCTGGGGCGTAGGGGCGAGTTTCGAGGCGAGACATTGCGCGCGTGCGTCTGTCTAGCCGCGATAAATTACACGCGAATCCTTTCCTCCGTCGCTCCGTGCGCGTTTTGTTCCCTCGATATATAAGTTTCAACTGAGAAAGATTTATTTGCTTCATGTGACTTTTGCGCTAGACTTTATGAGAAATCTGTTGCTCCGAGAGGACTCTACGGCGTGCGCCTGCTGCTGGCTGACCGAGCGACCTTGTGTTTACCCACAAATCACGCGTCTCTTGCAAATGTTACGATATTTTAATACAAGGTAATAACAAAACCCACAGGGAGGAACAAGTTTTTCCTTCAAGTAACCGAATAACTAGAATAACATGATACACCGGAAGGAAGGAAACTCGTTTTTCGATTTACCATATTATATTAAAAAATCAAATCCTTGTTCCCTAAAAGAAAAGGTATAAATAACAAACTTATAATCACCCGATATTTAACCGAGTAACGTCAATGTCTATAACAAATTCCACTCTTCATTGTATCGACAGGATTTAAGCGTTCAGTGAGAGCGTAGCTAGGCGTTTTCGCTCAGTATTTTAAAATCGTCTTTACTGCGACTTTATTTCTCACGTCACATTAAAAAATTGAGCATAAAGGCCTCGGTGAAACGCGAATGTCTCCAAAATAACCGTTCCTTCTTAAAATAATAATCGTGGCCTCTCGTCCAGAGAAAAAATTATCTCCTGCATAACTCATCGTACTTCACCGCGAGAGAGAAAAAGATGGAGAAAGAGAGAGAGAGAGAGAGAGAGAGAGAGAGAGAGAGAGAGAGAGGGAGAGAGAGAGAGAGAGAGAGAGAGAGAGAGAGAGGGAGAAAGACAGGGAGATTACTTACTACTCCCGGAAAGAAAAATTACGAATAAGATTAGGTCTCGCGAGTGCCCGAGCGGCATTACCGAGTAACGTCACGTGAACATGCGCGAAGCACGCACGAAAGACGTGTATCTCCGGCTGAAAGAATAGCCAAAGAGAGACGCGATGTAATGTAGAGCCGGCGCGTTCGGTTTAAGCCGTCCCGCACGCGAGACTACCATCACCGCGGAACATGGACCTTACCTTACTGTCCCTTTCCACTGATCTCACCCTCCGTACTTCCTCCATGCTCCCCCCTCTCAGCTCCGCCAACCCCCTCGCCCCACGCTATATACCGCCCGGTTCGGGGGCTACGTTCCACGGTAGCCTTCAGTGCGTAACACCAGCCCACATCACCAGCCGGCGCGGAGCGAGGCAACCAACCGCCATCAACCACCGACCTCAAAGAGCGAGAGACCCGCGTAACCTTACGCCACCACCCCTCCCCCTAGCCGTTGCCTCAACCACCGCCGCCCCGCTGCCCCCGCCGCGCCGCGCAGCCACCGCCGCCGGCACAAATTAAATAGCCGTGCAGCGCACGTAGCCGTTTACCCTTACTATACCCCTTCGCGCCGTGCTGGTCGCGCTGTTCTGTTTTTTATGCGTCGTTGGGCCGAATTTCTTTTGAAGACTCCGACGGTTACTAATTTAAATCGTTCGCTCCGAGCCTCGCGGTTTGCGCTCGTTTTTTTGCCGTCGTGTCACACGATCGACGACTGTGTTATCAGCTCCGCCGGCCTCCGAGAGGGAACGAGTCGCGTATCGAGACTGGTCCGAATAAGGAGAATGCAATTGTCTTTTGCCAGGGCGGTCGCGCAAGAAATCTGCACGCGCGCGAACGAACGAATGAGCACTCGTGACTCGAAGCCGGCGCAATTGAAATCGGCGTAATTGCGAGGAGTTCGATTCTCGATGCCGCGTGTCGACGGGGATGTGAATATTGCGGCTATCAGCGCGTTTTTATGATCGCGAATGAACGTATGAATTATCGTCGCGTACAGCACCGAGATATCAAAATTTACGGACATTGTAACAGTATCAAAGAAAAAAAAAACGAGTAGTATCGATCGAGAGGACTAAATCGAAAATAAGCAACGCTCCGAAGTGATCGTTTTCAATTGTTGTTACGAAAGTTCCAAATAGGATCAGACGTATAAATATTCTCGTGTCTGCATTCTATATTCGTTCAACCACATTAAACCGAACTCAATCGTGTTAATAAAATCAATGGAGAAGTATGTTGTTTGCATTGCAGACAACGGGCATATTTGTGACTTCCGAGAGGAGAAATGTAAGAGGAACGTTGAAAAGTACGATTATTATTCCGATCTAACTTACGATTAAGATGGCGACTAGGGAAGGAACTCATAACCAAATGGAAAAGCGCGCTTGAAACTCCATTAGTTTTATCTCTTATCTCGCAGATTTTTATCTCATAGAACATTCTGAGACAGAGAGAGGTACTTACATACACACACATACACAGTTCCATTAACTGTCCTAACAAATTTAAGTGTCCAAGTGGTCTTTGAAATTACACAATTTCTCTCGAATGTGGCCTCTCTCTCTCTCTCTCTCTCTCTCTCTCTCTCTCTCTCTCTCTTTTTCTCTTTCTCTCCCTATCTTTCTCTCTCTTTCTCTTCCTCCGAACACCACCTCGATCCAACGTAAAGTGCTACATTGTACGAGTAATATATTTAAATTGATACATAAATATGTAGTGAAAGTAGTTTACTTGATTGTCTTGCGTTTCCGAAGCATAATTTATCGTTCTTCCTCTCGCTGGATGCTAATTGATCTTCACTAACTGCAACATGTAAAAGCCCTTGCCGCCATTACAGCCCATTTGGCGCGTAAGGAAAGACGGGGTACAAGGGTGCTGCTAACGGTCAATTTTATAACTGTATACCGGACCTGACGGTAATACAGAGCACTATCATAACCGACAAAACCGCTTACCTATGTACTCTCTTCGTTACCGTCCACACCCCTTCCCGGTTCCTGTCTTTTGTCGCGCATATTTTTTCAGAGGGCGTCAGTGCACGGTGATTTTATTTAAATTGCCCAAATTTTCGTAAGATCGCCGACCTTGATGGTATCTCGTATCGGTATCTTCCGAAGACTGATTAATTTTCACTTATCTTCCAAATTGACATCCATTCGAGGAACTCTCACGATAACGCGCTCAATTCACTGATAACGATACGTAAAAATAATCCACGGTCTTATATTCTTTCCGCAATACCGTTCAAAATTACACACAGCCATATCGCTAAATAAATTCCTCAAATCTCCAAAATTTTTTGATAATTTTAGAAAAAATTTGATAAAAACAAACGCATGATAAGTAGCACTCGGCTCTCGGAGTGACTTTTATCAAGAAATGTTATCGGCACATATTTATACTGAGAGTTGAGATTTCAAGTTCTCGATACAAGATTCTCGTCACGCAAGACATACTCCTCTCTCTCTCTCTCTCTTTCTCTCTCTCTCTCTCTTCTCTCTGAGCGTGCCGCGAGAGAATGAGTCACGACATCTTATCACGCTCGTAGTGCTGGCACTGTAATTCTAGATCTCGCATAATTCTCAAACCTTGTCGCCAGCTACTTTTTAATCGTCGAGGAAATCCCGCGCTCCTCATTCAATTTCGTCGAAGCGAGGCACCGCGGTCCGTATACGCACGAACGCATATCGATCGACGACGCGTGAAAGTTTCGCCGGGGATTCAAACACACCACGGCAAATACCTCAAGGTCGGCTGTCTTACTCGCGCAGATCGCGAGCGTGATTCAAAGTATATCGCCTAAGACGGGACGACAGATGATCGCAGTCGGTCCGTAGATGCCATAAGCGCACAACACGCGCATTCTTCGTGTTCGACCCGCTAAATCCGTTTGTCGGAATCGTCCGCCACAATATGGGCGCGAGTAATTGCAAGGGCATGTTACCTACCGGCTCCAGGAGGAACGTCAACATTATTCAAGTCGAATCCGCCGCAACAGGTGCGTATCCCGTGGGACGGGGACGAATCGTGGATGGAGCTGGGGAAACTGTCGCGACAATCGGTGAAACTCTGTTCTCTCCGATCTTCTACTTAGAGGAGATGGACAAATTTGTATCGCAAACGTTGTAGCGAAAAGTTTCGTCCGCTTTTGGTTAGTGAGCGCTATTAATTGTAACGACACGTGTGTGCGCTTCGAAAGTGCACACGTTTCTGTGAAAGAAAAACACCGCGGCTTTTGTCTCAACGAACTTCAGGTCGTATCCGGTATCCAACAGAGAGATGCGTCCCTTGGGAATTACTGAAAAAAAGCAATCTTTTGTACAGCAGGATGCGTCGCGAAACTCGGTGAGAAACGACGTATTGCGATTTTTGCTTCCTCAACTATAGCAACGACGTACTGCTCCTCCGAAAATATCTGTTAAAATTCATGCACGTCACCAATTTGACGTTTTCTTTTCCCGTTGACATTAAATTTCCCGTATCCTTGAAAAACTGGTCAGACAGCATAATTTATACGCTCAAACGTCATTTGATTGGCGATAGAAAAACGCAGGATCTAACAACGATAGTCCGTGAGAAATAAGTCCGTCGAGGCATTCAGCTCGAGGACACGCGACGGCATCGATTGGCGATGATAACTTTGAGCTGCCTTGTCTCGCGACAGTCGATGCTGCGTGTCAGGACACTTCGCAGGAGCTGGGTCACCTTGATGGACACTCCGTTGTCTTGCGTTTTCCATGGTAGGCCTTTGCAACATTTACGAGCGTGTGTGAGAAAAGTGAGAAGCACACAGGACGCACGCTTTCTACAATCGGGACGAATAATCATTAGGAAAGTGTCGTAACGTTGTTTTGAGCATTCGCTGGTGCTTGTCAGTGTCTGAAATAGAGGAAGGTTATAGTAAATTCCGTGGGAAGGCTTAAACAAAAACTTACGCATCAATTGTGTGTTACAACCCTAGGGATGCAATTTTTTTTTTGGTTAATCTACAGATATCCTGAAATATGAAATACAGATACTTCGTATTGACAATAAATGCTAAATATAGATTGTGCCTTTGCTCTTTCATCGTTTATTCATAAGATCTACTTTTTTATTTATATAACCCACTTTTATTCGTTTATTGTCGATATTGAACATGTATACCAAAAATCACGACACACGTGTCACCAACCATCACATGGAAACGATCTAAACACAAAGAAATGCAAAAGAGACATTTAATTATTTGGTCATTGTTTCTGGTACATTGTTGCACGTGCCATCCTCGTGGAGACCATTTTGAGGATACCTCAAAATGAGTGAGGAATTCTCTGTGCAGGATACAATGTGTACTGTGTTGTGGTATGTGTGTGGATATTGATGTCCCATCATGAAGTTCCACGTGCGCACGAGTTGCGCAGATGTGTCATACAACTTCAGCAGCAAATTGCGTAAAGCGTTGCTTATGAGACAGATAATATATACGGAATATCTTGAGGAAGTTTACGGCGAAATGATCGGGAAATCGTTCATCCATTAAATTGCTGATAACTCCGAAAAATGCAACAAGTTTCAGTTTGCAAATAAGATATATGACAACTCGGAATTTCCATTTCTCCGCGAACTTCCTTGTATGAAATATATTTTATAATATGTTACGTTATATAATTAATGCGGGTCGTGCGCTGTATACATTGTTCACGAGAATTTTAGCTTTAATATGGAGATATTCTGTGACACGCTTAATCAAAGGTAATATTTTTCTCACGCTCGCCGCATACTTGTTTCTTCTCATTGTTTGCAAGTTGCTGCAAAGAACAGAAAATAATTTGATATTAGATATTAAGTCATTTTATAGAAAGTAACAAAGTTTCATACATATTTGTGTATTTTTATGTTTCGTATACTTAAGAATATACTTAAGAATATATATATATATATACTATCATATATATAAATTGTAATTGAAAATTACAGAATTTAATGTTTAACAATTGGTAAAAAAGATTTTTTCAGTCATGTCAAGTAAAGTCAGTAAAGTAGAAGAGTATCTTTCAAAAATATAATAAATTACCATGTTGTTGCACTTGTATGTCACTTACTGCAGCATCTGTAATATGATGTATGTATAAACTAATATGATGTATTATTAACTTTTTCTTATTTATATTAGGTGCCTCTGAGAAACATGATTATGTGGAAGGTGTGGTGTGCAAGCAGGAGGATATCAACGAAAATGAAATGAAATTACTACCGCTTGGAGATGAAGGTGGAAAGATTTTGTTGGTAAAACAAAAAGGAGAATTACATGCCATTGGTACCAAATGTACACATTATGGAGCGTTATTAAATACTGGTGCATTAGGGAATGGACGAATAAGATGTCCATGGCATGGTGCGTGTTTCAATATCAAAACAGGTGATATCGAAGACTATCCAGGATTGGACTCCTTACCATGCTACAAGGTATCTGAATTCAATTTATAAATTGTGATTCTCTTTCCTCACTATCTTATTTCATTATCAATTCCTTCAGTTTATTTTTATCTCATTATTCTTATGCATTTCAACAGGTTTGTGTAGATGAAGCTGGTCAGGTCCGTGTGAGAGCCAAACGTACAGATTTAGAAATTAACAAACGTATGAAAGAAATGGTCGCACGCGATCCTCAAAATAAGAAAACAGCCGTGATAGTCGGCGGAGGACCGGCAGGTGCAGTCTGTGCAGAGACTCTACGACAGGAAGGTTTTACGGGACGAATCATTATGGTGTGCAAAGAGAAAGTCGTACCATATGATCGAATTAAAGTATCGAAAGTATTCGATTTCGATGTCCAAAAAGCAGCATTACGGCCATCTGCATTCTACAACGACCAGAGAATCGAGACAAAACTTGGCGTAGAAGCTATAGGTAAAAAAGATGACACAGATTATTTAGATTACATTAATCCTCTCTCTAAATTTATTGTCGTTGTAATTATGTTAATCATTATATTATCATTATTATTGTTTTTATGTTATTGCAGGCCTAGATACATCCCAAAATCTTATTAAACTAAGTAACAATGAGGACTTGAAGTATGATTACTTATTTACCTGTACAGGCGGTAAGCCGAGAATGACAGATCAGTCTGGCAGCGACTTGAAAAATATTTTTGTCATGCGAGATTACACTGATTCGCACGCCATACATTTGTTACTTTCCGCGGATAAACATGTAATTATATTAGGGATGGGTTTCATTGGAATGGAAGCAGCAGCTTCTTGTGTCGGGAAATGCGCATCCGTCACAGTGATAGGGTCCAGTACCGCGCCTCTGAGAACAATATTTGGTGCGGACATTGGTAATAGAATCAAAAAGGAGCACGAAGCAAAAGGTATTAACGGTTACAAAATGTATTTCATATGACATTATGAAAATTGATTTGGTAATAATAATGAATTTTTTTAGGCGTGAAATTTATCAAAAATACAATTAAGCAGTTTATTCCGAAGGAGGGAGGAGATGTTTTGGCTAAGGTAGAATTGACAGATGGTCAGATTTTACCAGCAGACATAGCTATCATTGGAATAGGAACCACCTTTTACACAGACTGGTTGAAGGAATCATGTATTCAGATGAATGACGATGGCACTGTATTGGTAAACAAGGTATAACTTCTGTTTCCCCTTTTTTTGTATTTTTTAACTGCAAACTTCTTAAATTCTTTTTTATTTTGTATTGTTTAAATTGGACATTTATTTAATGTAGTATCTGAGAACGAACATAGAAAACGTATATGCTGGAGGTGATATAGCTTATGCACCAATATATGGATGTGACAACATATTAGCTGCAATAGGTCATTATTCTTTGGCCCATTATCATGGTAAAATCGCAGCTCTCAATATATGTGGCAAAGAAACTCCACTAAAAAGTATACCATATTTCTGGACAAATTTGTTAGGCAAAAATTATCGATACACAGGTAAAACTTTCATGTTTCTTTATATATGTCTTATAAAAGAAATATTTCCAGATGCATTATAATCGTGAATTGCATAAAACATCAACAGCTTAATTTTACTTGCTTTATTTTTAGGCTATGGGAAGCCAACTACCATAAAGATTCATGGCTCATTAGATAATTTAGAATTCTTTGCTTATCATCTTAAAGATTGTAAAGTGATAGCAATGAGCAGTGTTAATGCTGATCCTGTCGTGTCAGATTTTGCAAATTTGCTTTACGAAGGGAAGCTATTAACAGAAGAAGAAATTAATGCAGATCCATTTGGCTGGATGAGAAATAAACCAAAGGATGCATTAACACGATTCAAGGATAGCATTTTAGTAGAGCCCTGAATTGCTTTACAAAAATAACAATTTGCATTTTTGAGCAATATTGCACCAGTATTAAACCTATTTTTAATTTGTACATATACAATATGCATCTCTTTGGATAAACTTACATAATCTATTCCTTGTCGATATATTATTTTTTTGTCTTTTAGGATCAAATACAACAAGTTATAATTAGAAAAAAAATGTTTATAAGATGGTAAAAAGCTTTTTTCACCATTTGAAGTCTTTAATGTTTGTAGTTAAGAAAAATAACTTTTTAATTTTTGTGCGTGATGTATATAATAAAATATATAATAAATCACTTTTTATTTATAACACAAAAATTATGATGCATTAATACTTTATTCTCATATACTTATATTCATAAAAATTTGTATTATTTTTTATGTTCGACCTCAATTTTAGAGTATTAATGCTGCAAAAAAACAAGATTCCTGTATCTTTATTTTCTATGAAGATTCAAGATACTTATATAATATATTTAATGGTTCTTTTATATCAACTTATATGGTATTTTGTCACAAAAAATAGACATTTTTTAATTGAATATCAATTTAATTCAGATATTAATTTAAAGACAGCTAAAATCATACATGAGATAGATTTTTATTTACATATTTAAAAAACATTTGTATTAATCCCATTTTTCTCCATATCCTAAATGGGAAAGACGCTCAGTATAAGTAATCTGCTTAGAAAATTTCTGTTTTTTTAATTCCCATATGTTATCCCAAAATGATGATGTATTACATACTGCAGATCTGTGATTATACGACTGTTCAATTGTAAGGTAGGGATGTCGCAGAATCAACATGTTTAACTCTTCTCTTTCAAAATCTTGTTTCATCTTAAGCAAATCATGCATAGTTGGTTTTTTGACAATACGGTATTTCCTGTGAATGTGTATAATGCAAAAATTTATATATACATACATAATATAGTTTACATAATGCAAGGAAAAATATAATATATAATAATGATGAAAGTAACTCATGAAAATGATTTCTGTTGAATGATATATATAAGAGTATTCGTTTGTTAAATAAAATTAGGTACTCACCCTCTGAATCTATAAGGAATTTTATTATGGTACAAAGCGGCTAATAGAGCTGATCCAAGACGCATTATGTATCAAATGCTGTATTGTTTATATGTGAATAATTAACTACTAAATATATACTGCTTTTTGTATTATCGTATAATTATATAGATTGCACTATTTCCAAATGACACAATTTTTAGGTTAACGTTATTATATGAGTATAAGAAAACCGCTCAGTGAGCGATTAGTGACTATTGGTCTTTACTGTTAGATCCTTACATTCAGACCAATAACGTTGACGAATTATTCAACAGTTGCTCAACCTTTGAGTGTCGTGATGCACCCAATGGTAAAAAAGTGGACAAGGTAAACACGCATGCGCGACGATTCCAATATTAAGATAGCATCAGAGAAAAACTTGAGAACGGCTATTCGGCTGGATTCCAGGGGATATATTTTTCGACGCGACCCCTGAAAAAGTATATCCGTCCTGATAGACGGCAAAAGGCGCACGTTTCTCGTTCATTTTGTTTTTACACAAAGATAGCAAACAAGAAAAGGATGAATGACTAATCGCCCTGTCTTTGTCTTATTAACTATTCTTTTCTGAAGAATTTTTTAACTACTGCATATTATTGCAATAAATTAGAATGAGAGAAAATATACCTATTTCATGCCAACTTATTGCATTAGTTCAGAAGTTCTTCGAAAAAGAACAGATCAAAGATAAAAAGCAGATGAGGTACTACGAATAGCAAATCATGCGGAAACTAAAAAATTTATAGTCGGTAAATTGCCCTTTTAACTTAAATATTAAGTATATAATAAATGGTTGTGTTCAGAAAACAAAGCGCTCACTGAGCGCTTAGTAACTATTGGTCCTTACTGTTAGATCCTTACATTCAGACCAATAATGTTGACGAATTACTCAACCGTTGTGTTTTCTGAACGCAGCCAATTTTACATACATTCACTCGATCTCTCTTCCACACTTCCATAATAAAGAATATAAATATTAAATAGAAATTGTGTGTGTGTGTGTGTTTAACACTCACATACTTAGCTATTTATTCCCTCTATATAATTATATTGCATATTTACATAAGATTTTTATATATTTATTAGAAACTAGAAATATAGTGAACAATACAGTACAAAATGATGAAATTTCGGAGGAGGCAATATATACAACAGAAAAATATCAAATGATAAAATGACACACCATAAATATATAATAAAACTGACAGTACAATGAGAACATTATAATACATCCAATATATCTTATACATTTTATAGTAAGCAAAAGAAAATTTATCTTCTGTTGGTTTTGCCAAGTTTTCTTTTGCCTGAAAATAGATGTTTCGGCATCTTCGTGCCGATGAATCGGTCGCCTTCACCCTTAAGACCTTTTTTAGCGATCTTCTTCTTCTGTGCTTTTTGCCCAATCTTTGTTAATTTCGATTTCATCTGCAAGGAACGTCAATAAAAATATCGTTACGTTGCCAATTATTTCTTAAAAAATATGGGAATGCTTCAAAGGATCCAGTATAGCATTTGTTCAACTTAATTTAGCTTATTTATATAAACAATTTTTTTTTAATTTGAATATTAATTTCCTCTCGATCTCAGACACCTATGTTTTATATTCCTAATACACTGAGTTTTTAAAATATACATTCTGCAACTTACCGCCTGATCTTTAACACCCATCTCATCTCGTGCTGGTTTCGAGCTACTACGGGCGCGCGATTGTGATGCTGATTCGAAACGCATGCGTTTCCTAGCAGTTGTCGAGACCGACCTAGACCGTACTCTCGTTCGTTTGAAATGTGCCTAGCAACAATTAATACAATTAGTACAATTAAGATGATATTTAGTACAATATCGGTGATAAATACCATATAAAGACGATGTATGCAAATGAAATTTAAATAAAATAATATATTTCATTTTTAACATATCATAATCAAGAGAATCATGAAATACAGTATTATTAAAAGCTCTTTTCTTAATAGTACTCTTTCTTGATTTTATATCTTTACTTTAAAAAAGGTACCTGACTTGTTTATACTTACGTTTTCAGTGTCTTCTATGTCCACGCCCAACTCCTCCATCTGATCTTTGAGCTTGGAAACTGACCGGTCGCGAACCTTGGATGCGGCTGTACGTGGCATCACAGGCTTCGTGGAGGCTTTCAATATGCGTGCCTCATCTTTCATAATTGCCTTTTTCTCCCGAATTTGTCTCGCAAGCTGTTGGATCTCGCGCATTGTCTCCGTCAGTTCAGGTATCTTATAATCATACATCCCGGCCTCTTCTCTCAACTGCTCTTCTTTTTCTAGTTGATTCAATTTCTGAAAACGATAGCATAGCAATAGGAAAACATATTGTACAGTATTGTACATAATACAGTATCATGCAATTCCAAAAGATAGAATGGATATTAACCTCGAAAATTTCTGGATCAATGTAATCCGCGATATTATGACCTTCCCATATTTCTGGAATAATGTCATACTTTTGATCGCCTTCGATGTCATAATTTTTCTTTAGGTCCAGAATATAATCATCTCCCATCTCTTCTTCAATTTCTCTTTCCAGCTTGCGTTTTCTTTGGGCTTTTTCTGCAATAGCTCGCCTCTTCTCCAGTACACTTTCTGGTATACATGGAGCGCGAACTTTGTCGTCTCTCTTCATTGGTTGAGCGACATGTAATCTATTTAAGAGTCCATCTACCTGTGATCATTATATGTCACATGTAACAAATACATATCAATATCTTATCTTTATTTAGGTTATTGAGGTTATTTTATATGAATTAAAACAAGTGATCTTTGGATAAACTACCTTTTTAGTCTTGATCTTTTGATCGACTCTATAGGCTAAAAGCTGTTCACAAGCCTCTGTCTTTACTTCCATCACACCAAAATCTGTGATGGTGCTCATTTCCAATACTGGAATATTCTTGTCATTTTCAAGTGGTTTCAAAATATTCCTCTTTTCTAGAGATAATTCTTCCAAACGTATGATATCCATTTTATTCATGACAATTATTAGAGGTTTATTTGTGAACAAAGGCTTTATGGACTCAAATAACTTGACCTATATAATCAAAAAAATTAGTAGAATACTATGTACATGTAACTTGCATGTTGTAACATATTGCACCATTACCTGTTCTTCTAGAGAATAACCACATTGTTCTGACAAATCATAGAAATACAACACAGCAGCTCGTAAGTGAGCAAGAGCTGTTACCGCTTGCATTTCTATAACATTTCTCTCTTCTAATGGATGGTCTAATATTCCAGGTGTATCTATCACCTGCCACCTCAAATATTTGTAATCAGTATGCCCTACATACAAAGATTTTGTTGTGAAGGCATACGGTTGTACTTCCACATCAGCCCGAGTAATCTAAAATATCATATAAATATAATATAAAATACCATTTATATAAATATGATCATAGCTATTGTATATACATATAATATTTACTTTATTAATAAAACTGCTTTTGCCAACATTTGGGAATCCGCATATAATTATTGTACGTGTATAGGGGTCTATACTTGGCAATCTAGATAAATGCTGACGAACTTGTTCCAAGTATGTCAAGTTGGCTGCTTGTCTCTTCATAATAGTGGCCATACGACCCAATGCAGCTTTTTTTAATTGTTTGCATCGATATAGAGAGTCTCCATACTTCAGCAGTCGAACATAATCTTTAGCTACACTATAATTAGAAAATAAATATTGTAGAACAAAATTATATATTATATGTTAGTTATAAACTATAATTTTCTTACTTATCAATTAAATGTCTGGCAGTATTTATTTGTCCAAGAGCCAACTTATAATGATCTTTATCATACAATACATTCATCAAGTCAGCATAAAATGGATGAACATCATCCAACTTGGGAAATTCTTGTATTATATGAGACAATTTATCATGAAAGTTTTGTTGAGTAAACTTTACTTTCCGTGTGTAAAATGCACGTATTCTTGTGATCTTATAATGTCTGTGAATAACTGTTGGTGTTTTACGTTGTGTCTTTGATAAGATTATATCAATAAAATCCTGCAAGAATAAAACACTATTAAGATTCAGGCTTGTAAAGAAAGGGATTAAGTTGTTTCCTAATCCTGTATAAAGTTGTCATATAAAAAATTAGTTTAAAATTTTAATCAGGAAGAAGAATAAACATTAATGTATATAAAATTATTTGCTGATTATATTCCGAAAAAATTTCAAAAAATTATCCATTATACTCTTGTAACCATGTGGTAGACGATGCTCAAGGCCGATCACTACTCATTTCTTGTATTAATATATTTTGGACTTATTAATAATAGATTATTTCTATCTTGCGCACCAATTTCAATAACGGCTCCTATTAATCCTTTCTTTACACTTATAATTAGTCCTTCTTTCTGATTAAATTCTAAGTAGAAGTATTGCAACTAACCTTTGCGGTTGGAACAACCGTAATTTTCTTAAAATTATATAGTGCCATTGTGAATCATTCAGAGTTTTTATAGCTTGTCGATGCGAAATTACTATAACATATAATTATTATTCCATATGTAATATTTATATGTAAATTAAATTATTACTTACCACACTCTGAAAATATAAATTTCAGAACACGTGCTCTAAACGCAAAGAATAAAGCAGAGAGTTAGCGACTGCCTGCGAAGGTGAACTCACTATGTTGGAATCAGAGAGAAACCTGAGAACGGCCAACACGGCATCATTTTCTGCGACACCGACTTTCCGCACTGGGAAAAGACGCCATCTGCATCAATTTTGAGAGGGGAACTACGATGCTACATCTACTTTCAGGTCTCGGTGATAAAATTTGCATGTAGTGGAAGTCCATGCTACATCCACTTTCAGCCACAGGCGGTTTATATCCGTGCTACAACCACAGTTGCCAGACTTTGCCATTAGGTTTAAAAACAGCGGGGCGTGGGGGAGGAAGCAGGAAAAATAAAAGTACGTATTAAATATTAAATCTTCGAATACATTAACATATTAAGTTCAAATTAAACATCGTGCGGTACTAATAATCATTATAAAATTAAACATTATTTATATTTTAACGAACGTATGCATACACCAGTATTACATAGATATAAAAAATGTTAAGAAAAAATACGCAACCACCCAATAAAATATTTTAATTATTAACATAATATTACATTTAAATTAAATGTACAGGGTGCCCCGTAATTAGCTGCCAAGCCGAAGTGTGAAGGTAGATTGATTTAAAACAAACATAAAAGTCCCAGCCCATTTTGCAAGTTACGCAATAATTATCGAGTTATTAATAACAGAAATCTGATGAACGAGCGCGCGCTCAGATGGATGATTGAAGAAGCGTCGCAGCCTCTCGGGTTACAACGCGTTCCAGTCGAAAAGGTTTAGATACTTAACATGGTAATACATTTCACTTTTATAATCGACATCGTCGCTGTCGTCGGCCGCGAGGGCCGCGTCCTCGTAGCCGTCGCTTTGTCACTTCGCCCCGTCGACTTGGCCCAGCGGGCTCATGCACCAGCCTCGTCACCAGTATAATTCAAAAATTAATTTAAAAAAGAATCAGTAAATGAATGTAAAACATAGAAACAAGACTAGAAATATAATTTATCAAATTTTTTTTAAATTTACATACACATATCTGGAATTATACAAAATATGCTTATTTTACTATATTTTTAATAAAAAAAATATATATATATATATATACATGAGAAGAGGGGGAAGGTTGTATACATGGAATAATATTGAGGTATTGAATACAAAGTACTTGTACGCAATATCTTGTTTAATATACAAAAATACATATATTATTATGAGAAAAGGAAGGACTTTTGATTAAAATATTAATTTATTTTGTTAACCAGATATTTTGCCCTTGTATCTGATAGTATTGATCAGATTATTAAAAATGAATTACGACGTATACAAAATAAATATAAAATCACTGAAACATTCTTCATATAATAAGTTATGACAGTTTGTCATAATATGCGTACAAAAAGTCATGACAATCTTTTTACATACTTCTATATCTACCATATTATACATTATATATTTTAACAGTCTCAATTAAGAAAAAAATATCAACAGTGTTCTTCATCGGTTAAAATCCCATGAATTTCTGTCAGAAGAATCCATGTACTGCTAATCGGAATATCCATTTAATGCTTTCTGTGCTATGCCAATATCACATAACTTTCCATTTAAGCTGGCAATTATCATATATACGTCCTATATAATATATAAAATTGTAAAATTTGTTAAAGAATATTAAATATTCTGTACGCTAATTACACTTTCCAAAATTATACATGCAAGTTTTCACTGTATTTTAACCGAGCATTAAACATAATTAATTAATATCTGTTATTAACTAATATTAGGAAATTTCATATTTTTTTATAGTCAAAATATTAAGCGGTTTTAGCGAAAAATCTCGCGTAAATCAAATAGCATGAAATATATTAATAAATTTTAACTTACACTTCTACCAACTTTAAGGCGAAGCTTTCGGTTTTAACTCATCATAACATGGTCTTAGGAAAATAGAATTCTTCTTCGTGGGGTTGTAATATTCGTGACCCTAAATGTTTACAAATCTCATTAACAACTGATTTGTATCTATATAAATTATTGTATATTAATTTTTATTTTAAACGATATTGATACCTTAGACCAATCATAAGAAACAGCGTAAGCAAATATCTGTCCATTATGATTGAAGCAACAACGTGTGATAGGTTGTTCCATTGTTTCTGATGACTTCAACTTAGTACGTGCATCTTTGTCCCAGAAACCGAAAGTACCATCGCTTCCTACGGTAGCCACAGTTCCATGTACTGGGTGAAATGCTATGTCGTTGACCTGTTGATAAAATCAATATATTATGAAGTCATAACAGTTAGAATAGAAACCTAATAGTCACATAGTTTTAGTGCATGGAGTATCGACGCAGTTCGCACAGCCGCCACTGCCGCCCCTCAAAGAGGGTACTCCCCAAGTGTTTTAGCCAGTGCGAGTCCGGCATAACCCACAGGTTCCCCCCCGGGCCTCTGGGTACCCATAAGGGGTTTCACCTGGGTTATCAAAAAAAAAGTCACATATTTTATTTACAGCATAGATATCTTGATATCCATTAGGTGTGCCATTTGTTCGATGACATTTAAAGGTGAAATTTTCCTTTGAACTAAGATTCAAATGGTGGATTGCAACACGTCCTTCTGTGCTACCGATCGCAAAACCAGTTGGAGCTTTCTTTTTATCCCTGAAAATTGCTACACAACGGTACTGATATTTTAAACTTAGTTCAACAGTTTTGTATTCTCGCGGACTGCCTTCCAATTGGTAGACAGTCAATCCACGCCCAGCTGTTCCCACAACAGCCATTGGATAATCCTATAAAAGTTTGTCATCAATTTACTGGTTTCAGAATATATCTTAGTGCATGAATACATGTGTACATACGACATCAGCGCAGTAGCATCTTTCAGGCAAGTTAATAACCATTGCTGGTTTAGCACTACGTAAATCCCAAAACTGAAAATTTATATTATTAGAGATAAGTGCTGAATTTTAGAGTGATGAATTAATCACAGGAATAAACAATTAAAGTAATAAATGAAACTATTACTATATACATATGTTAATTCTTGTCATTTTTTTGTTATTTAATTTATACCTCAAAAAGCTTTACAATTATTTGTTTAATAGTAAAATTATTTAATAAATAAGCCAACTTTTAATGTTTTGTCCCAGGAACCAGTCATCAAACAGGAATAATTGCTGGCTTTTATCCAGTGACATGTTTTAATCGGCGCATCATGTGCTGCTACTTGTAGACTTTGATTTGTAGCCAGATCCCAACACTTTGCTGTTTTGTCACATGATACCATGAATACCTTTGTGCCATCCTGATAATTTATCACAAGTTGACATCATAGTATTAATAAAATAAATATATATCTTTCCATGAATATCTATATTCATATTAGTTATCATTGGTTATATACATGATTATATAACGAACAGTAATTAAAATAATACTCAAAAATAGAATTAAATAAATACTCACATCACTCCAGCATACATCTAAAACTGGGGCTGCCATACTTTGCATTGATTTTGGTACGGTCTTGCCAGACTGCTCGACTTCCCAACAACGGACATTGCAGTCCCAAGAACCAGCTACCAAAAAATTCTGCTGAATCGATGGGGGACTAAAGGCCAAACTTGAAATTGAATCATCAGGGGGCGATACAACTTCAAAATCTTGCATAGGATTTGATGTGGATGATGTTCCTGTCCGTAACGTGCTGCTTTGATTAAACATGATTACTAGGTTTGATTCGGCTACTAAGTTGGACTTTATTTACTTCCTCGTGTATTCACAATCTGTAACAAATTAAAGTCGTTAATAAAGAAATGTTTTTTGCAAGATTTTTTTTTATAAAGCACACATTATTGTTTATTTATCTTTTCTCACCTCGTTACGCTTACAGAACGCGGTAAAGCTTGCCAGAAAATAAACGCAGTAAAACTCTAAGATACTAGAAAACTGTGTATCAATCATAGACTTCTATAGTATAATTAGACTGCTAACTCACTTGTATACTGTGTCACAAAATTGATCCCAAAAAGTATATATTACCAGAGAGCGGCCAACACGGCATTTTCTGCGACACCGACTTTCCGCACTGGAAAAGGACGCCATCTGCATCCATTTTGAGAGGGGAACTACGATGCTATATCTACTTTCAGGTCACGGTAGTAAAACTGCATGTGATGGAGTTCGTGCTACATCCACTTTAAAGGCCATTGCACAAAAAAAAGTTTTAAGCTAAGACTCCATGCATGCGGTGAGCTCCGGCAAACGGCTGCGATGACCAATCAGGAGGGAGGCGCAAGTCCAGTTGCGGCAAGCTCCGGCATGCGTCTGTCTCCTGATTGGTCACCGCAGCCGTTTGCCGGAGCTCACCGCATGCATGGAGTCTTAGCTTTAGTCGTAACCGTAAGTCCGTAAGCAAATTGACCAATCACAATTCGTATATTTCGAGATGCTGGATTGTGATTGGTCAATTTGCTTACGGTCTTACGGTTACGACTAAAATTTTTTTACGTGCAATGGACTTAAGGCTCGTCTACAATAGCTGTAAGAGTAAAGCTGTAAGGCTGCAACGTAAGCTGTCAGTGAATGAAAATATTTCATTTCGTGTCTTGCAACCTTACAGCCTTACTCTTACAGCTAATGTAGACGAGCCTTTAAAAGCCATCACACGTAGAAAAATTTTAACCGTAACCGTAAGGTTGTAAGAAAACTGACCAATCACAGTCGATCCTTTCTCTTATGACATTATAATAATCGACTGTGATTGGTCAGTTTTCTTACAACCTTACGGTTACGGTTAAAATTTTTCTACGTGTGATGGCCTTCAAGGCTCGTCTACAATAGCTGTAAGAGTAAGGCTGTAAGGCTGTAACGTAAGCTGTCAGCGAATGAAAATATTTCATTTCGTGCCTTGCAACCTTACAGCCTTACTCTTACAGCTAATGTAGACGAGCCTTCAGACGGTTTATGTTCGTGCTGCAATCACAGTTCTGGGCTATTTCTCTGTCAGAGTATGTCTGAAGGTCTAAAAAGAACGGGGGGGAGGGGGGAGGAGCAGGAAAAATAAAAGTACGTTTAATAACGTATAATAACGATTAAATATTAAATCTTCGAATACATGTTGCCGTATCAAAGTCTCCTGTATAATAAGCGATTTGACACGTCTGGAGACGCATGATGTATCGTTGCCCGTGTCCTGTTCCCTTCGTCCTGTTTCTCAATTCATTATCCCGTCCGCTTCGGATATTCGCTCGTGGCACTAACAGTGGCCGTCGGTGAGCATTCGATCCGCTCGGAGGAACACTGTTAATTAACGCGACGAGACTCCGATTATAAATATCCCGCGAGTCGACGAAATATTTGAACTTTTAAAAGAAGCATCAAAGAAAATCACGTTGATGTTGTCATGGGTGAAATCTCACCCTGGTATATATATATATTTTTATTTCCGAAATAAAAAAAAAAGCCAAACGAATATAATTAAATGTTATTTATCATCATTGAATATTAGATGAAAAATAGAAGAGTTATTGTCCGCAGCGGAAAATCTTCCTGTATAAAATGTCGAACTGAAACATATTAAAAAGTATTGACATTTTGAATATTGACATCTGAATTCTGCTTTCTGATCCGAAGAAAGGGACTAAAAAGTATTCTCATTAAATTTCACCGCGCTAAATGCGAGATGGCAGTGGTGAATGCTTCGCATTAAAAAGGATTCAATTCATTTCACATATGCTTTGTATTCAATCGCAATCGTTTCATTTTCAAATGTGGACTTTCGTACGAGTTTCGTACGTATTGAAAAGTATTCACTTCTCCTAATTGTTTTTGGATTCAGAGGCATACAAGATTTTCACGTTTTATTCCCCGTCGCATTGAAAAGTATTGGCCCGCGATCTAATCTGAGATTCCCGCAAAGCAGAATTCACGACCAAATCTCATGAATGCGAAACAATACTTTTAAATACGATATTTTACACAGGACTAACATTTAATAAGAGCGTGACTAAATTCGCATAGGATGAAATTCCATTCTTTAACGCTATTATGACCTTTAATTATTCTCTGAAAACGGCGTCACAACAACTTACACTCTGTACAATTAGTTGCTAACACATTTTCTAATCGTATACATTCCTCTTTAATTAACATAAAGCTAACAAATGTCCGATGCTTCGACAGAGTAATATTCTTTATTTTCAGTAATCAATAAATAGAGTGCATCAATGTCGCATACAGTTGAAAGGCCTCCTCGAATTCCCCTCGTCGTTCCGAAACCTTCGAGAAAACAAGAGACGCTCAAAGGCAAGTCTCTCTTGCTTCAACCGCCGCCGAGGCCCGCAATGTTTGCATCCCGCCGATTGTGTTGATCGGCTAGCGAGCGACGACACTTTTTGCCCTTCGTATTACAATACTCGCGCACCTCATGTATTCGACCTCATTCCAACAGCAGCAGCCGTGAGAGCGCGACGCTCTCGTCACTTCCGTCTCGTGTAATTAAAAGAAATATATCTCGTCGGTCCTCGAGATACTCAATCGGCATCGCGTCGGCATCTCATTCATTAACTGCACGGTCGAATCGCGAGTGTCAGCATTAGAAGCGTGAGCGAGTGAAATCCGGAGGACTTCAGCAGTCGAGAAGCAGAACGCCGACAGCGATACGTCACGTTTCCAGGTATGTGGAATCATTTATTACGCGGGAGGTCTCCAATAACGAGAGCGTACGTTTGACGAATTTCCCGGGAATAAGAAGTCGGAATTCCGCGCTCGGCATTCACAATCCGTCATCATCCGACTAGTAATCATCACTTTATGAATTTGCAATTACTCTCGTCAATCTCTGTCTGTCCATCTATTTATTGCGTTGTTGTATACAAAAGACATTGATCCAGGCAGAGACGAATAACGGTCCATGGACGTGGATCACGAATTCTCGCGCTCTTGCCACAATGTGGTCCTATACCAACCATAATCTAACCATAAATTTCCACTCTCAATTCCAAGTAGAAGCGGAGATATCAAAGGTACAAGATGGAAAACTTTAACCTTCGATATCTCCTAAACGGCTAGAGACACAGGCCTGTTTCCTGCACAAAAATATAGTCCTCTCAAAACCCTACATGTTCCCGTAAATGACGATTCTCAACACCCAGTAGAAGAGGAGATATCAACGGTGAAAAGTTGGAAAATTTTAACTTTCCATTTCTCCTAAACGGCTAGAGATACAGGCCTGTATCTTGCATCAAAATATAGTCCTGTCAAAACGCTACATTTTCCCGTAAATTACGACTCTCAACTCGCAGCAGAAGCGGAGATATCAACGGAGAAAGATTGAAAAATTTTACCCTTCGATATCTCCTAAACGGCTAGAGATACAGGCCTGTTTCTTGCACCAAAATATAGTCCTCTCAAAACCCTACATTTTCCCGTAAATTACGACTCTCAACTCCCAGAAGAAGCGGAGATATCAACGGAGAAAGGTTGAAAAACTTTAACCTTCAATATCTCTTACACGGTTAGAGATACAGGCCTGTTTCTGGCACCAAGATAAAGTCCTCTCAAAACCCTACATTTTCCTGTAAATGGCGACTCTCTACTCCCAGTAGAAGCGGAGATATCAACGGAGAAAGGTTGGAAAACTTTAATCTTCGATATCTCCTAAACAGTTAGAGATACAGGCCTGGCTCTGGTACCAAATTAAAGTCCTTTCAAAACCCTACATTTTGGACTACATGGACGACTCTATACTCCCAGTAGAAGCGGAGATATCGACGGAGGAAGGCTGGATATCGACGGAGAAATGCTGGAAAACTTTAAACTTCGATATCTCCTAAACGGTTAGAGATACAGGCCTGGTTCTGGAACCAAATTAAAGTCCTCTCAAAACCCTACATTTTGGCGTAAGTGACGACTCTCTACTCCCAGTAGAAGCGGAGATATCGACGGAGAAAGCTTGGAAAACTTTAACCTTCGATATCTCCTAAACGGTTAGAGATACAGGCCTGGTTCTGGCACCAAATTAAAGTCCTCTCAAAACCCTACATTTTGCCGTAAGTGACGACTCTCTACTCCAAGTAGAAGCGGAGATATCGACGGAGAAAGCTTGGAAAACTTTAACTTCGATATCTCCTAAACGGTTAGAGATACAGGCCTGGTTCTGGCACCAAATTAAAGTCCTTTCAAAACCCTACATTTTGCCGTAAGTGACGACTCTCTACTCCCAGTAGAAGCGGAGATATCGACGGAGAAAGCTTGGAAAACTTTAAACTTCGATATCTCCTAAACGGTTAGAGATACAGGCTTCGGACAGGTACCAAATTAAAGCCCTTTCAAAACCCTACATTTTGGACTACAATGACGACCCTCTACTCCCAATAGAAGCGGAGATATCGACGAATGAAGGCTGGATATCGACGGAGAAAGGTTAGAAAACTTTAACCTTCGATATCTCCTAAACGGTTAGAGATACAGGCTTCGGACAGGTACCAAATTAAAGCCCTTTCAAAACCCTACATTTTGGACTACAATGACGACCCTCTACTCCCAATAGAAGCGGAGATATCGACGGATGAAGGCTGGATATCGACGGAGAAAGGTTAGAAAACTTTAACCTTCGATATCTCCTAAACGGTTAGAGATACAGGCTTCGGACAGGTACCAAATTAAAGCCCTTTCAAAACCCTACATTTTGGACTACATGACGACTCTCTACTCCCAGTAGAAGCGGAGATATCGACGGAGAAAGGTTGGAAAACTTTAACCTTCGATATCTCCTAAACGGTTAGAGATACAGGCTTCGGACAGGTACCAAATTAAAGCCCTTTCAAAACCCTACATTTTGGACTACATGGACGACTCTCTACTCCCAGTAGAAGCGGAGATATCGACGGATGAAGGCTGGATATCGACGGAGAAAGGTTGGAAAACTTTAACCTTCGATATCTCCTAAACGGTTAGAGATACAGGCTTCGGACAGGTACCAAATTAAAGCCCTTTCAAAACCCTACATTTTGGACTACATG